CTTTTTTTTTTCTCCATTTTTTTTGACAGAAGGTGATGCATATTTTAAAAATACATCACAATAAACATTGAGGTCTTTCCAAGAGAATATTCCTGTCTTTATTTATAGTAAGTCAACTAAATGAGCATTTACTGACAATGTTTTTGTTTTATTTTAAGTGAAAATTTTTTATATTAAAGCAAATTTAGCTTTTGTTCATGGTAAAAGTTAAGTTGTAACAAAGCAAAAAATATATATTGACCTACATTTAAGTAAAGTTTTTTCTTGTGACTAAAGAAAATAAATAGCTTTAGGTGTTATTAAAAATATAGTTTGTACTGAATCAGAAATTCAACTTGAGTAAATGTAATAAAATTGCTTGTAACAAAATTACAGCAATTTATTTAGTTTAGTCCAAAGTAAAAATTATACTTGGATGTTATGGTAAAAAGTAAGTTTTTCCAAAGTAAAAATTTTAAGTTGTACCAAAGTAAAAAATAATTATTTGGTCTTCATAAAAAGCAATATTTTAACTTTGTTTCAATGTAATTTTTTATCTTGGGTAGAATAACTATTTTGATTGATATTAAATTAAAATTTAAAGTTTCAACCAAATCAAAAATATAGTTTGAGAAAAACTAATAAATTTAGCTGTAACAAATTACAGTAATTTTTTTAGGTTGGTCCAAAGTATCATTTTTTTCAGTGTTGTTTAAATCTAGATTAAAGACACATCTCTTAAGCCAAGCATTCACATAATGTATCTCATAACCTAATAACTCCAGTTATATCTGATCAAATGCATATTATCTTTCTTTGCTTGGTTTGAACACATTATCATTTTTTTTGCTTGGTTTGAACAGCAACTTTGCTTTTCTGTTTCTGCCACAGGATGAGACCCCTGAGGTTACGGTAACTAGGAATTACACAAGCTTCAGTCTGGATCCAGCCCTTACAAAGGTCTGAGATGACCGAACACCTGAAAAGAGAAGACACCAACCCCTCCGAGGACCTCAGATGACGCCAGCCCTGAACCAACATACAAAACTACCAGGTTTTGCTATAAGTTTGATCGCAACATATAATCATTGCTGTTAATAAAAGCTAGTTCATGCATTCATGACCTCTAGACTGGACTATTGTAATGCACTGCTAGGTGGTTGTCCTGCATCTTCAGTAAACAAGCTACAGGTGCAAATGCAGCTGCTAGAGTCCTTACAAGGTCAAGAAAATATGATCATATTACCCCAATTTTACAATCTACACTGGCTACCTATTAAGTTCTGTATCAATTACAAAATATTGCTACTTACTCATGAGACCCTAATTGGTTTAGCTCCTGCAAACATAACCAGCCTTATATTACGCTACAATCCATCACGCTCCCTAAGGTCTAAAACTCTGGACTTCTGGTAGTACCTAGGATAGCAAAGTAGCCCTTACAAAGGTCTGAGATGACCGAACACCTGAAAAGAGAAGACACCAACCCCTCCGAGGACCTCAGATGACGCCAGCCCTGAACCAACATACAAAACTACCAGGTTTTGCTATAAGTTTGATCGCAACATATAATCATTGCTGTTAATAGTGTTCCCCATTTGTTTGAATGCATGTCATTAACTAACTGCATGAATTTTTCTGTACATTTCTGCCATATGGACATCAGTTTGACATAGTCACCACTGATAAGCTACTCCTAAATGTAATAACTTTCATTTTCTGTAAAGCTGCTTTGCAACGAATTGCATCCTGAAAAGCGCTATACAAATGTGAATTGAATTTAATCACTTCAATTTAACATGCTTCATCTCTTCTATCAGCAATATGGTACTCTTAGATTCACTGATAAATTTAGCTCTTGTTTTTTCCCTGTGTTTCCTGAGAAGGCACCAAACGGAGTCAAATGTATTGATAAATGATTATCTGCTGGAGTGTGAACCAAGCACGATGTGAAACAGTCTGGTCTAGAACTTTTCATGAAGTCACTGAAGCAGGTGATGAGGTGTGAAAAAATCAATCAATATCCTCTGGGAATAGACTCATCACACAGACCCACACTAAAATCCTTCTCACATTCACACATGCACGCCCACAGAAATATACGATCAAACTCAATTATTCACTTCATATAGGTTTCTGTAGTTTTTCTTGTGGCGTTACATGCATTGTAACATGTTTCTCTCCTCAAGGTTTCACAATTGAAGACTTGTGTCAAAGAAAATATAAATATACAAGTTACCCTGCTGCTGCATGGAATGAGAGAACAGATATTTTTCTGTCTCAAGTGCAGAAAATGACTGTACAGTTTTGCAAGGACATGTCTTTATCACAGCGAGCCTGTAAAATCAAGTGATTACAAAATTCTTCCATGCAAGAGCTCGAACAAAATTATTTATTTTATTATTAACACTTTAACCATCTGGTATATAAATGATTTAGCTGCAAAAAAAGGTTTTAATGTAAAAGTGTGAATATTATCTTTCCCCGTCTTTTTCCCCCAAAAAATATTGAGGGAGTTAAAGAAATAGTTTACCCAAAAAAATGAAAATTTGATTTGGAACAGATTTAGAGAAATTTAGCGCACCAATGGATCCATTACAGTGAATGGGTGCCACCAGAATTAGAGTCCAAACAGCTGATCACAGTAATCCACAAATAATCAACATGACTCCAGTCCATAAATTAACATCTTGTGAAGTGAAAAACTGCATGTTTGTTATAAACAAATCCATCGAGGCATTTTAACTTTAAAACGTAGTTTCTGGCCAAAATTTGAGTCCATAATCCATAATAACTTTCATTAAAAAAAATCTATCCCCTGTTGTCCTCTCACATCAAAATCCACCGACAAATGGTGCTTGATTTCTCTCCTGATTCAGACTAGATGACTTTTTCACTGGAGAAAGCAATATTGTGGACTCGTATTTTAGTCAGCTTGAAGCAGCAGTTTGAAGTTAATAAAATCTCAGTGATGGGTTTATTTATTACAAACATACAGCTTTTCAGATCACAAGACGTTTATTGATGTTTTTGAGTCATGTGGATTACTTGTTTATTATTGTGATGTTTTTATCAGCTATTTGAACTCTTACTCTGATGGCACGCATTCACTGCAGAGGATCCATTGGTGTTGTTCTGATTATTAAAGAAAACACACACACCAAAACTCTGGACTTTTGGTAGTACCTAGGATAGCAAAGTCCACTAAAGGAGGTAGAGCTTTTCGCATTTGGCTCCCAAACTCTGGAATAGACTTCCTGATAATGTTCGGGTTTCAGACACACTCTCTCTTCACTGAAAAAAGTGAAACTACTGTGTTGTTCATTTAAATGTAAAAGTGTGAATATTATCTTTCCCCGTCTTTTTCCCCCAAAAAATATTGAGGGAGTTAAAGAAATAGTTTACCCAAAAAAATGAAAATTTGATTTGGAACAGATTTAGAGAAATTTAGCGCACCAATGGATCCATTACAGTGAATGGGTTCCACCAGAATTAGAGTCCAAACAGCTGATCACAGTAATCCACAAATAATCAACATGACTCCAGTCCATAAATTAACATCTTGTGAAGTGAAAAACTGCATGTTTGTTATAAACAAATCCATCGAGGCATTTTAACTTTAAAACGTAGTTTCTGGCCAAAATTTGAGTCCATAATCCATAATAACTTTCATTAAAAAAAATCTATCCCCTGTTGTCCTCTCACATCAAAATCCACCGACAAATGGTGCTTGATTTCTCTCCTGATTCAGACTAGATGACTTTTTCACTGGAGAAAGCAATATTGTGGACTCGTATTTTAGTCAGCTTGAAGCAGCAGTTTGAAGTTAATAAAATCTCAGTGATGGGTTTATTTATTACAAACATACAGCTTTTCAGATCACAAGACGTTTATTGATGTTTTTGAGTCATGTGGATTACTTGTGGATTATTGTGATGTTTTTATCAGCTATTTGAACTCTTACTCTGATGGCACGCATTCACTGCAGAGGATCCATTGGTGTTGTTCTGATTATTAAAGAAAACACACACACACAAATTGGATGGCCTGAGGGTGAGTACATTTTTTACAAATTGAACTATTCCACGTTGTAGAATATGATTTAAGTCTGGTTCGCACCGAACAAGTTTTTGTGGTTAACAGCGCAGCTGTTATTTCTGTGTAAACATGCACTGAACTGGTGTATTTAACGTTGCTCGGGCATACACCCTGTTTTTAAAATTGCATGTCAAATTAAAAGAATTTCAGTCTTTAAATCGCTTTGTAGCATGTTTTACTACTTTAACATGTTCTAGATGGATGTATTTGACCCTTACAAGGTGATTCGCACATGAACACCACATTTTTAAGATGCTGGGTCAAGTAAAAAAAAAAAAATGTTAAATGCTTTTCAGACATATAGTGCTTCACGGCTTTTGTTATCCATTTTTGAATGTATGTTGTCATATTTAACCAACACAATGACATATGAAGACACATCTATGCACCATAGTGTATGAGCATTAGAAGGTTAATATAAAATCTAAACGATAATAAAAATCTAAGTGTGACAGATAGCTTTGGGGGGGAAAAAAAGACTTATTAATTTGGATCACAGAAAGCACACGCCTGTTGCCCTGCACTATGAATGTTTGTGTACGTACTCACATCTTTCATTTAAAATCTTGAGCAAACACACAGAGCAGGCGGAGGCTGCATCTGCTGACGTACAGCCAGTGGCTGTGAGAGAGTCTGCTTGCTCCGAGCCTCTGAATCACAGAGCATCTCTACAGAAGCATATCCAACAAACAGAGGAGCAGCAGAGCATTTTTGAAGCCAACATCGGGAGAACTGCAACACCTGATTTGTTGACTACACCTGCAGCTTTCAGATTCCTTTATTGTTATTTATTCCATCATCTGAATCAGTTTTTTTACTCTTTATAATTTTTTTCTGCTTTCAATTTTTTTTCGTTTCCTCTGTAATTTCCATCCCTCGTCTGCTGTCTGTTCTTCCCCGTCTCTTTATCTTCACAATTCCTCATGAACGACTCATACCTGCAGTTTCTTAAAGGGCAGAAACCTGCAAACAGCACGTCTTTGCCTCCTAATGACAGCACGGTTGATCCTCCAGCAGGGGCGCTGTGCAAGCAGGTTCAGATCCAGGCGGAGGTTTTTCTCACCTTGGGTATTGTGAGTCTTCTGGAGAACATCCTCGTCATCTTGGCCGTGGTCAAAAACAAGAACCTTCACTCTCCGATGTATTTTTTCCTGTGCAGCCTGGCTGCTGCAGACATGTTGGTGAGTGTATCGAACTCTTTGGAGACCATTGTCATTGCTGTACTAAACAGTCGCCTTTTGGTGGCCAGTGACCATTTTGTGCATTTGATGGACAATGTGTTTGATTCAATGATCTGCATTTCTCTTGTGGCATCAATCTGCAACCTCTTGGCGATTGCTGTCGACCGCTACGTCACGATCTTCTACGCCTTACGCTACGACAGCATAGTGACTGTACGCAGAGCATTGGTGGCCATCGCTGCGATCTGGTTTGTGTGCGTGGTTTGTGGAATCATCTTCATAGTGTACTCGGAGAGCAAGACCGTGATTGTTTGTCTAATTACAATGTTCTTTGCCATGCTGGTGCTCATGGCCACTCTCTACATACACATGTTTCTTCTCGCCAGACTTCACATCCAGAGAATCGCAGCATTACCCCCTGTAGCAGCAGCAGCCGGCAACTCGGCCCCACGTCAACGCAGCTGCATGAAGGGAGCTGTGACCATCTCCATCCTCCTCGGCGTGTTTGTGTGTTGCTGGGCGCCGTTTTTCCTCCACCTCATTCTGCTGGTGTCTTGTCCGCACCATCCGCTCTGCCTCTGCTACATGTCTCACTTCACCACATACCTGGTCCTCATTATGTGCAACTCTGTGATTGACCCCCTCATCTACGCCTGCCGTAGTCTGGAAATAAGGAAGACCTTTAAGGAGATACTCTGCTGTTTTGGCTGTCAGCCTCCACTTTAGATGAATGTCTGATTTGAAAGGAGACTGAATGTGCAAACAAGAAGTTTACCTTGATGTAAGATGCCAAAGTGTGGTGGTCACAATGATATTACATATCGAGAGGAGGATACGGTCAAAAGCAGACACGTAGAATTCAGAAAAATTGGACTATAAATTTGTCGAGCACTATGAAGGATTTGGAAAGCTCAGGTGCTGCAAGAAAATCAGAGAACTGAAGGGTAGATTGAATGATCAATTATGTGTTAGTCGAGTTTATTATGTGTATTCATTATGCAGTTGGGTCTGACAGTCAGAAGCTACACTGAAATCTAGGATTTAAACTCTTTATTTAAACCTTGAAATAAATGGACAGTTTTAGGATTCAACAAAATAAAAATAAAAAAATACACTATGATTAACATTAATATGAAATATTACTAGGTGAAAATTCAAATGAGTAAATTAGTGACATTGATCATTTGACTGTGTTTTTTCAGTGAAGTCTAGACAATCTGATCAGGAAGATCAGGCCCTTTCTTTCAGAACATGCAACACAACTCCTTGTTCAAGCTCTTGTTCTATCCAGGCTGGACTATTGCAATGCTCTCTTGGCAGGTCTTCCAGCCACTTCTATCAAACCTCTACAATTAATCCAAAATGCCGCTGCAAGATTAATCTTTAATGAGCCGAAAAGAACGCATGTCACACCCCTGTTCATCAATGTGCACTGGCTACCAGTAGCTGCTCGCATTAAATTCAAGGCATTAATGTTTGCCTACAAAACCACCACTGGCTCTGCACCCCTCTAGAAGCTTGCGTTCTGCAAGTGAACGGCGTATTATTGTGCCATCTCAAAGAGGCACAAAATCACTTTCACGGACTTTTTCATTAACTGTTCCCTCCTGGTGGAATGACCTGCCCAACTCAATCTGAGCAGCTGAGTCCTTAACCATCTTCAAGAAATGACTAAAAACACTTTTATTTGACCCTCTAACTTTAGCCCTTTCTATTCTATTTTAATTCTACTTTATCTATATTTATCTTCTTTTAAAAAAAAACAACAAAAAAAAAACACTAGCGTTCTATTTTTTCTATTCTATCTACTTGTTTTTCTTTGTGCGTGTGTGTGTATATGTGTGTGTATAATATATATATACACCTTGCTATGTGTACTGCGTTAGGCTAACCGAGACTTGTCATTTGCACTTATATATTGTTGCTCTTTTGTTAGTTTTGACTGCTTTTATTGTCCTCATTTGTAAGTCACTTTGGATAAAAGCGTCTGCTTAATGACTAAATGACTAAATGAAATGACTAAATGACAATCTAATGGTACTTTGTAACTGCTTTACGTTTTGGCGAATTGGTGAATTTGTATGATCTCATTTCTGCGTTTTCGTATGATCTGCTTATACCCCACTGATGGTTAGGTTCAAGGGTGGATGTTTATGCTTACTATTTTTCTAAAAATTAAACGTTTTTGTACCAATCAAATTGTCAAAAATCAAGATTTTCCAAAACATGAAACAGTTATGTTTTATTATGAAATTGGGTTGTTTAAGCATATGCTCTTTGGATTATCTCAATTTATGCATACATTTGTGCAAAATGTGTATATAATATATTTTAAGTATCTGTGACAGTGTTCAGGCCATTTTGGTGTGTAAATGCCTCTGTTCAAAGCTGCTGAAGTGGAATCTTACTAACAGTCTGTGGTGAAACTCGCTTACTGACATCAAAAAACATCAGGGCACTTCCTAAGCGTCTGTCCTTCTTTTTGAGGTGTTACTAACTTTGTTGCTTCTCACAGCTGTCAGAATCAGATTCAGCTTGGACTGTCTCCAATTAGCAACAATATGCTGTCAAACTCAACCCAACTGCTGCAGTCAGCATGTGTGGATCATTTAGCTGTCTAAGTCTCAAATTTCTCTATATTTGCCTTTCAGTGGTGGAATGTAACTGGGGTCTCCCCATTTATTTTTTGTCAGACTTAAGACAGCAATACCCAACTAAACATGTCAGTTCAAACACCAAATATCCCTCTTTTTTTTTTTTTTTTGGCCTTTTATTCAGAAGTGGAAAAAAGTTAGGTGGACAAGATCCGAAAGACCACAAACCAGGATTCAAACTTAGGTCGCCCAAAGCATAACCTCACTGTGTGTCAGAGCACTACCCACATGTTGGCTCTGACTAATTATCCCTCTTGTTCCATTAAATAGCATCATAGTTTAGCTTTTCTATAGTGGTTTAAGTTTGATATTCTGCTTATTTAGCTGACCTATATTGAGTCGCACTGCAATGTTATAAGGACTGTGCTTGCACTCTATGAACACTTTTAGCACATCAGCTTTAGCACTTCACTTGTATCTGTGACCACAAACTCCAGCAAATATTTGCAAAAAAAAATGTAAAATAAAAGGGTTTAGCTTAATCACAGCATGTGTTCTCTGTTTCTTCATGTGGGATATATGAATGCCAGTTTGTGCCTCCATAAAAAAGTGTGTGCGTGGATCTGTGTGATTTTTCAGATCAGATTCAAATTCTCTTCCTTCTCATTCTCACCACAAATGCTTTTAATGCTAAGTTCTGTTATCATATCGGCATTTAACTTGAACTGTAAGGTGAACAGTGAGATGAACAAAGATAAAAAAAAAAATCCAAGGCTATCCTCAGTCATTGCAAGCAATCGTTATGTGTTTATCTCCCTATATAAGCTTTAAATGTCAATATTTGTATATTATTCTCCCAGAGTACTTTTATCATAGAAAAATCTTACATTTGTAATTGTTAATGTTGCTCCCGCTCTGCTATTGCTTGTTATTGCTGCTAAAGCTGGAGGGGAAAACAAGAATGTAACAGGACAGGAATGTTTATCACTTATCAATGAGACCAGTAGCTAGTGACGTTAATGATCTTGCCTTCAGACTTTCTGGACCTTAATTGTTGTAGTCCTGAAGGGAGAACGGGCTGCATCCAGTGATTCACATGATGTCTTGGGGTTTAGCATGTGTAATTGGCATCCTTTATGCTATGATGCAAACCCCAAAGCAAATATATGACTGATAACCAGGGTCAATAATGGCACAAAACGCTGGACCTTTTGTTCTGCATATTCTGTGCCTTTAACGTAAAACACACCTCCACTGCATGGCAGGGGGAATTGGGTACCTACACACATCAGCAATGTTACTGACTACATGAGAGTTGGCAGAAATCCTATGGCAGTGATCTGAGAGCTTCTCACCAGGAAAGAAATATCGGAGAACGCATATGAATGAGTCATTACTGTGTGCTTTGGACCACCTGCAGCTTAAAGGTGCAATAGGTGATTGTCTTAAGAAACATTTTTTGCTATGCTGGTTGAAAGTCTCTTCACATCCCGATAGCAATCATTAAGTTAAGTGGTCTAAATGTATTTGTCTGTATTTATATATTCTGTGGAAGGCGTAGGATCAAGAAATGTTCGTCCAATCAAAGCGCTCGGTCCGAGAATGGCAGACAAACATCAACAACCCTATCTTCCTTCCTGGTATTGTAGTACTTTTAAAGTTTTCTCACCCGTGAATGACACATGATATGTAGCCCAGCAGTTAATCCAGTCCTCGCACCAGCTCATTAGATGTGAGCTACGTGCATGAACTGTGTTCCGATCTATATGATCCCTACACAGTGACCATTGCTCCCTACTCCCTGAGCGGGGGAAATCCGTTGAAGTTTACTTCACTTCGGAACATGGGCTGGAATTGAGAACCGCTGATGTAGCCTATTGTAGTAATGTTGTCTCTGGTATTCTGGTCTGTGAATGAGCGTATGCGTTCAGGGGGTGTGGCTTTGGACAGCGATTGCAGGGAGGGTGGGACATTCGCTTTCAGTGCTATCAGGCTAAAGTTAGCATTTTCCAA